TATTGTAGTTCTGAACCCACGCTACTCGTGGGTCTATTTTTTAGAATTTTTAATAAATTTTTGTGTGATGGGCAATGTTTATTAAAATTTTTGAAATATATGTTTTTATATTTCTACTTATTGTTATTTTTAATAGTTTAAATTCTTTGAATTTTAAAATTACCATGACAAATAGTTCAATTAAAATATACAACTTTAAAAAACTCTAATAAAACTTATAGGTTTTTACAAAAATTATCAAAAGTATATCTTTTTTTGTTTAATAGCTCTCTCTTTAGTTTTAGATATTTTGGATGACTAGATTTTCTCAGGGAATAAATAAACTGTTTTATAGGGTTTAACTTCGACGAATTTCTCATTTTTGTATATACAAATTCACTATTGTTTTTTGTCTATATTCATTGCATTAGTTAGTATAGCTCTTCTAAATATAAGATCCTATACAAAAATATACTCATAAGCTTATCTATACTTTCTTTAAAACAACTCGTATTGTTTTCACATTCTTTTTATATGAATTTCCGTCTTTACAATTTTTTTCGTTAGGTATCACTCTCTCTATTATTTTGCAAGCAATCAATGTCTTTGTTACATTCTCGATTCTAATTAGCACATCTACCACTCACAAACTCAACCAGACTCTTTTAGAAGTGTAATATAAAAACTACTCTCACCAAAACAATAAAAACTACTTTCAGTTTCACATGAAAAACAATCTAATAAACAGAACCATAATATAATAAGTGGTGGTGTAGACCTCCAAGTAACATCTGGGATGGAGAAAAGTTAGATCCATTAGGTGTGGGTGTAATGCCGAATGAGCCACACACAAGAAAAGCAATCGTAACAATTGATGATGGTTATGAATTATGAGCGACAAAAGCATTTATCTGTCTCTCCCCCTTCCCACTAACACAACATCTCCGTCGCTCTTGAAAATTTATACAAACGTCATCATGCACATTACAATCATGAATCATCAAAATTCACAACTTTTGATCCGATTTTATATGTTGTGATCTTCATCACTTTTAAGAAGAATAAAAAAGGCGGATGCAATTGCCACAAAAAACACTGTTATGCACATTCTCTTCTCATCCAACCTACGAAAGAACTATTTCTCTGCTCTAATAAAATAAATGTCGTCTCTTTTCTTATTTACAACTTCTACTTAAAAGTTGTGCGTGGTTCTTTTGCCCAGGCAACACATGCATGGTTTTACAAACTTACCGCATGATATGGGCTAAATGAAAACCTCATCAAGGTAATTATAGGGAACTAAGAGGCGATGAAAATTTTAGGATTTATATTTTAACTCAACAACATCTATAGAAGAATAATAATTTTTTTTTCTATATACATACTTCACTATCAGCTTAGTTTTTATAAAACATTTCCTAAATTTTGTGAAAGATATAGCTAGAAAACAAATAGGGCGTCAAAGATTTAGGGATTAATATTTTCGACGAAATTTAAGTAAAAATAAATAAATAAACATTTTTAATATTTTTAATCACTATCTTCGTAAACTTTTAAGAAAAATTTCTTAAAAGATATTAATCGATTTTTTATATGAACTTTTAATTTGGAAAATATTGTATCACCATTTATTAAAAAATTAATTTTGGTAAAATATAACCAAAAATAATATTGTAAATACCTTACATATGTCTTATTTATATATTTTTTTGTTTCCTTTAGTTATTATTTTTGTATAGAAAATATCTGAATTTAAAATTGTTAACTAACGGAATGACAAAAATTGTTAATTGGCGAGATGACTACATGCGATTGGTCGTTCAACATCCTACGTGGACAGCCTCATGAGCTTATAGTTTCGACTTTTATATAGCATAGAAAAATAATATTGTAATCTATACTTTATATTTTTCTTATTTCTATATGTTGTTGTTTCAAAAATTCACATTTTTCTTTTTTTTCCATATATATTTTTTTTCATTTTAATTAATGTTTTAGTATAGAAAATATATGAATTTAAAAATTTTAATTAACATAATAGAAAAAATGTTAATTAGTGAGGTGGCTAATCGCGATTGAATGTTTAAAATCCTATGTGGAAGGCTTCAAGTATATAAAATGTTTACAAATATTATGTGTCATATTTTACTCAAGTATATAAAATGGATTTCAAAATTTTAGTAATTAAAATGATCTAATATTCGAACATCAAACTTAAAACATTAAAAATTACCAATCAATATTTAAATGAATAAAGTGTTACATGTATATATTGTATACCTTTTCTATTTTATTTTTTCACATACCTCTTGATTGATTATTCTATTCAAATTTTTTATTTATTTATCCCAATTATAAAATTTCTGTTTTTCTTGCTTCAATTTATTGTCATTCTTTCAATTTTATAAATAATTTATTTTGAATAACAAAGCGAATTAAACCAAACCAAATTAATCCTAACCGAATTAAAATGAACAAAAATGAGTTTGATTAGAGACTTGATGTTTTATTAAATTGAAATAACTGAATCAAATTTAACTCGACATCAAAATAAAATATCGACCCTTAATTGTAATTAAGAAGGGATATTGGAAAATTTGGTGAGACAAATAATAAGATTGTTTTAAATATTCTAATAACAAAAATTTTACAGTTTTTTTTTTGCATATGTTTTTTTTAAGTTTACATTTTTCTCGTTTCCATATATATTATTTTCTTTACTTTTTTCTAAGTATCTTAATTTTCTATTGATATTATTTTATATATTCTAATAACAAAATTTTACATTTTTTGTTTTCCCATATATTTTTTTAAAAAAGTTTACATTTTTCTTGTTTCTATATATATATATATATATATTCTTTTTTTATAAGTATCTTAATATAGAAAATTATTGGAATCCAAAATTGCTAATTACCTAGATGGCTAATCGTGAATAGTCTTTCAAAATTTTGTGGACAGTTTCTGAAGCTTATAGCTTCGACTTTTTTGTAGTATAGAAGCTAGTAGTTTCTACTTAAGCTATGAAATTTTTATAGCTTTTAGAACTTCAAATTTCTAAGATTATGGTCTCTAATAACTCCATATTTATGAAGATTATTACTATTTACAAATACATTTAAAAAATAACATCAAACTTTGATAGAGTTTTGAAAAATCTTAAATTGAATTACAATAAAATCTTCATAATATTTAAATCTATTCCTTCATACTTGTCCTCTTATTGATGATAAAAAAATACTCGAAAATAATACGGACAAATACAAAAAAAGAGTCACCTGCCATATTTAATTTAAGTGTCATCATAATCAGTTAGATTTGGCAAATAAACACGCCAAATTTTGGTTTCTGAAGAAACGGTTAAAAAGATAATTAGAGAACTCAAATTAATCAAACGATTATAATATATAGAACTCTATATATAATTACTTTTTTTTCTTTTTCTTTTAAGAATTACCCTTTTTGCTTCTCTTGTTCTTCTTCTTCAATATATAATTCTTTTCACTTTTTTTTTAATTTGATTTCTTTGCTTTCCACATGCGAACCATTTTTCATGCATATATTAACATAAAGAAATGAACAATATCCACACAAGAAAACAATTTGAAAGCTACATAAATTTTAGGATCGATAATACCTTGTAATTGCTTTAAAAGTCACAATTGAATGAACCTAGACTCGATTCAGTAGTGTAACCTGAAATGCAAATCAAACAGTCTAAAATCAGAAAATTAAACAATATTTGTTTATAGTTCATAGAGAAATAAATCAAAAAATATGTAGCACGAGAGTAAAATCGAAGCCGCATAATAGTAAATTCGTTTGAATCTGAAAACCAATTGTGTGGTCGAGGTTCAATATTTATAGTTTAATGTCTAGGGTGAACCCTCATAATTACCTTCTGTAATTTTACATTTTTTATTTAGAAAATTTCCAAAGAAATATATTCGCTGCATAATAATATTGAAATCTATACTTTACATTTTTCTTATTCCTATATTTTTTATTTCAAAAATTCACATTTTTCTTCTTTACCTGTTAGTACAAGATCAAACCGGCTAAAATCAGCAAAATTAAAAAATATTTGTTTATAGTTCATAGAGAAATAAATAAATAAAATATGTAGCACGAGAAAAAAAAATCAAAACCAACCGCATAATAGTAAATTCGTTTGAAACTGAATATTAATTGTGTGGTCGAGGTTCAATATTTATAGTTTAATGTCCAGGGCAAACCGTCATAATTACCTTCTGTAATTTTACATTTTTTAATTAGAAAATTTCCATATAAAAGTATATTTGCTGCATAATATTATTGAAGTCTATACTTTACATTGTTCTTATTTCTATATTTTGTTATTTCAAAATTTACATTTTTCTTCTTTCCATATATTGTTTTTTTTTTCTTTTTATTAATATTTAAGTATAGAAAATATAAGAATTTAAAAATGTTAATTAACATGCTATATAAAAATGTTAACCGACGAAGTGGCTATTCGCGATTGGTCGTTTAAAATCCCATGTGGACGGTCTAAGGAGCTTATAGCCTCGACTTTTATATAGTATAGATTATATTAACTAAATTCCGTAAAAGGGTAAATCGGAAAACCAATAACAGGGGAAATACGGTCACAAAAAGAGAAGAAAACCGGCAAAGTCACCGGAATCCGATGATATATTTAATCCTAGTACCTTCTTAGTCTAAGATTTACAAGTATTTGATGACTGGTTTGAATTAATGATAGAAAAAATCTTCTTCGAATATGACTTCACGATACTCGAGTCTCCGATTGCATAGCCCATAGCAAACTTGTGCACTTTTCATCCTCTGAATTGGATTGGTTGATTATGCACTCTTAGAGATTCTTGTTTAATGATTTCATTCTCTCTTTTTTTCCCCTTATATGCTTTGTAATGTTAAGACTATGAAAATACAAAAAAAAAAAATGTTGATTTGACATATGTAAGTTCATTACATGAAAGTGCATGGCATGCCAATTCGATTATTCTTCAATTGAGAACTATGAAAGTGTGAATTTGTTCTTCTTTATTCAACAATCGTAGTTATGTCTCTAAACTATATATACAAATTACATTTTTAATTCAACAAAAAATAGTCTTTAAACCAAAAAGGTTCAATGAATAATCATGCTCAAATTAGAAAATTATAATTTTCCCCAACATGTCTCAACGACTCAACCATAACACTCCTTACGCTGCACACTAACCCAACCACCGTTACGGACTCCGTTAGCATCCCACAACCTCACAACATTTCCGTTAATCACCGTTAAATCCACGTAACGGTACCAACCTTCATCTCCATTTCTCATCTTCACCACTCTCTCCCATCTCTCCCACCACTCTCCACTCGCACCTCCTCCATACTTAACGACCGTTGTCTCTCCGTCATCTTCTTCTCTCTCTCCGTCAATCATTTCCTCGTAGTACACGGTTAGCTTCCCCTTCGTTACTCCGTCATTACACAACAACAAACTCCAATCTTCCGTCTCCGTTACCTTAACACTAGGAGGTTTCGTCTCCACAACAAGAGCAGCCTTCGTGGCTTGTGGTTTTGGTGGCTCACGAGGAGATTCATCTATGAAACCGTCGTCCCTACCGCCGCCCCCGCTGGTGGTGGTAGCTCGGATACGCCAGAAACTAACGGCGGCCGTCACGACGGCAATCCATGTCCAAAGATTGTTAAAGACGAAGTTAACGTAGTCGAAAGCCAAAACCTCCAACGGAGAATCCAAAGTCGCCATTTCTGAAAATGTTTTTGTTATATTTTAAGGAAGAAGATTGAGTCAGTGGTTGGTTATATAGCGGATTAGTATGGGGAGAGATTGAATCTGAGCCGTTGGATTGATCTGAAGAGAGATAGATGGTGAGCCATTGGATCTTGCAAGTTGAACGGTGGATCTTTCATAGATGCTAAGGATCAAGACCGAAGATGCTTGTAGTGAAGAAAGATGCCAAGGCCCAAAATGGACCCAGGACTTTT